CCCCAAAACCCCAAAACCCCAAAACCCCGAAATGAAAAATATAATTAGCTGAGATGTTAAATTAATGAATTAATTTTTAATAATGAGATAGCAGTAAAAAAAGGTTATTTCTGAACCTAATGATCCTAATGCAGATCCAAGCAGAAGTTCAATCAAGCCTAATAAGACTTAGATACACTGGCTTGATCAGACTTCAGAGCTCGCCAGCCAAAACAATTCCAAAATCATGCATTTAAAGATAAATAATAATAAATATATCGATCCTAATGAATAACTATAATCTTTCGGCAACTCATCACAAAACTTTTTTACATAGTGAAACATGCAAAATAACCCACAAAACTGAACTACTAAAAATTTCAGACTTAAAACTGATGTTTAAATTCTTAGAAACGAGGATAGTATATCAGCTTATCAATAAGACTCTAATTATACTCCTTAGATTCCGAATTTAACGAATTTAAAGAGTGCCTTCAACCCCAAACATAATTAAATGGCATAATAATAAATGACATAAAAAGTATCACCCAGAGACAAAAGATAAAATTCTATGGACTATCTAGATAAAAAGATGACAGCTTTTATAACTCCAATAAATCAAAGAGCCAAGAGCATTTTGCACACTCGCTAGGCAAAGACAAATAAAAACTCAGCTACTAGGATCTAAAATTAATAGGATGGCTTGGTCTTTAGTAATGCCCTTAACAATCGATACGATAGCCTTGATTAACAAAAAGAGAGCAGTTAAGGAGGAGGACTTAACAATGCTGAGCTTCATTACTTAAATCAAAGCTAACAGTCTTTGGAATTCTAAATTAATGAAAACTTGATTAGCAGGAGACACATGCTTTCAAGTGCTCCTGACCCTAATTACTTATAATTCGATGTTATTTAAGATAATGAGTAAAATGAACAGTCTGTATAAGAAGATGGATAAAAGTAAGATGGCTAAGCCTAGAAAAGAATGCACAAGAAAAGGTTTCTCTATACGCCAGTTGAGCTTGAAGATGATGATTTTATGTTTAATCTGAATGAGCCAATGAATTAATCAATGCATGTGCCAAATAACAAGAATAACGAGCGCAAGTTCAACCTTAGAAAATTTAGGTTTATGAAAAGAAACGCTGAAAAAGAAAAAGCTGAAAAGAAGCTAACAATCAAGGAGGAGTTAGACTCAATAATGAACAGGCTTGAAAATGTAGATGCTAAGGACCTTAGAGCCAAACTTAAGAATCTAATAGATGATAGCTAATAGTAGAGAAATTTAATAGAGGTGCAAAGGAATCATAATTAGATAAAAAACCAAATTCTGGGCAACAAGTATAAATCCCCAGTAAAAAAGCCGAAGTGACTGAATCTACAATCGATTTAGAAGGATGGAGGAATACAAAATTTAACTGAGAGCTCTTTTGATTTTGACAATCAAAGTCGTTCTGCTGTCAGTTCTGTTAAATACACTGAGGTCAAGAAATAATTACCTATCCAACAGTCATTAATGCATGCCTATCAGTTAAGAATGAAAAGATAACAAGAAGAGGAATAAAAAAGAAAAATGGTTGATCTTAAGCTTAATTACATGATATCCAATCTATAAGAAAGATTAGGTTTCGTAACTAAAAAGTAAAAAATGGATCATTTTATGAATAGATTAGCCACTAACATTGAAAAGAAAGTGAAGACTTCCAACAAGACAAACTCAGAAAATGAATCTTCTATTAAGAAATAAGAGTATGATATTAGATCGCCTTTGGATTCTGTAAACGACTATGAAAATTACGCTGATAACCTTTTGTAACCTGACTTTAACAGAAAAACAAAATCCCATTTTACCAAATTAAATAAGGTTCACTCTAAGAGTAGCCTTGATCAAAATAGAATTCCCTCTTAAATAAGAGAGCACAGTATGAATTAGCCCAATACTACTAAGTACTCTCAATTCAAACAAGGAGGCTAGAAGTATCTTAATTTTTAACACCCTAAGACTACCTAAGTTTCTCCTCGTGAAAGTGCTAGAAGTCAAGCAAACCACTCATCCATCTAAAACTCGAATAGATTCAAGAGTATGAGTCCAAAGCATACACAGAACTAATTATAGCAAAACTTCACTGATAATATGAAACTTATCAAGGAGAAGATATTAGATAAGAACGCACCTTCTCCAAGAGTTGCTACTGACTATTATAACTTTGAAGAGTAAAATCTTGTTATGGAGTTCTTGCAGAGTCTATATGCTGATAAAGACTGGACTAGCATTGCTACTGATGAATAGTTTGAAAAAATCATGTAGCTTATGTCAGAGTATTATGGAATGAATGAGAATTTCGATAATAAATACTCCCAACTCCCCAGATTTCTGCTTGCTAAGAAATAGCAAAAATCACAATCTAAATAAGATGTCAATCATATCGGAGCAGAGGACCCAAATTTAGCTAAAAGTAAATCTATTAAGGGAAAGTCTTTGAAAGGAAGTTAGAAAATGAGTCTTTATGACAAAGATGAAGATATTCCAACTTTTCATGTATTTAGTGATGATGAAGAAGATCATGGCAAAAAATATGATGATAAGGAGTTTGAAAAGCACATAAAATAAATGCATTTGGATTCAGAAGCAATGAAAGAGAGATTCGTCATGGAGAGATACACTTCATATCTAAACAAATGCATGTTCATAGCTTCTGATGATTATATCAAGAGGAAATTCAAGGCTTTTCTAGAAAAGAAAAATCCTTAAAAGAGTGATAACTTCTTTAAGAGAATGTAAAAAGATTAGGAATTGAGAAACTAGAAAGAAAAGATAATTCAAGATTTGAAAGAAGGAATCTAAAATCAACTTTTATCTTTAGAAAGCGCACAAATGACAGGCATGATTGGGTCCATTACATCCAAACTTAAAACAGACCTTACCAAGTATCTAGGCTTACCTGGCTAACAAGGTACCTAAACTAATTAAAACAACCAAAGATAGCCCAATTCGAGACAGTCAGATAATTCAGTAAATGTATTCTCAGATCATGTTTAAAATGAAAATAATATCCATCTATAGAGCAGTCAGCCATCTTACTTCAAAGCCTTGTAGGAATTGAAAAATAACAAGAGCTCCATACCTTAACTGATGAATTAGAACAGCATAAAAGCTAATAAGTAAGTTACAGTTAAAGGCTCTTAAAATGATCTACCTAATCTAAATCATCTTAATGCTATTCAGCAGTAGTTCAAGAGATCACATATGAGAATGCTCCATAACCAAAGGTTGACTGAAAAAATGTAGGGGAGTGATATCATTAGCTAGAAGATTGTTGATCTTGAAATGAAAATACTGTCTAAAAAGCAAAATTCACCAGTTAAAATCAAATTTCAATTGAAAAACACAGATGATAATATGTCACTGAGAAATCAATTTTGAAAAACATATAGACTATAGTACAGCTTTAACATAAATTTATTTCTATTAAGTATATATATTTTATTTATTAGTATAATAGCTTAATTATCCTTAAAGGTTACTCAAGATTACTTTTAAAATAGTTATATATTACAACGATATAATAAACTTAAATTATAACAATTTAATTTTTAAATTTCAAATGATATCAAGCCATTATTCATAACTGATTGCTTCCTAAAAATTTGAAAAGGGAAAGCTAAAGCATTTAACTGGCTAGCAGAGAAGTAATCACCCAATTCGAGTCTCAAATGGCTCTTTTTCTACCACTGCAAATATTATTAAGTAAATCAATTTAATGTTAACATCTCCTACAAAAGAAACATAAAAGAAGAAGAAAATCTGAGATAATGTGAATAATTAATACATGAGTTGTAAGAGGAATTGCCAGGTGGTTAGAATCATGCAAATACTAGCAGAAGTGGAATCGGCAGTTTGACACAGAGATCAATGAGTGTAAGATAGAGCACCTCTCTCAGCTAATTAAGAGTAATAATATTAAGGCTAATTTATATAATTTAGAGATCGATTGACAATACAGCTTCAATGATAACTACAGCAAGAAATTTTAATAATCTCACAAATCTTAATCCCAATCATACTAATTCAACCAATCTCTCCTCATAAGTCACTTAAATAAGAGACCTTAAGAACAAATATAAAAAGCAATAGCCTCAAGTTCAAATTTAAAATTTAAAAGAATTAAATTCTCATTAGCACTCTCACTCCTCTCATATTCAGCACCATCATAGCAATAATCGTTCAAATAATCAGAATGCTAAAGACTACTATGTAAACAACACTTCCTCTTAATAGTAATAAAATGGTGGGAGCTAAAGCAAAAGACAATCATTTGATAATAGCGTGTCTAAAATAAACTCTTCAAATAATCCAAAGAAGGGAGGACATCAAAGAAACCCGTCTACAAGCACAAGTAAAAAAGGTGTAATATCTACAAGCATAAATCTTTGCACTTAGCAATAAAATTAAACCAATATTTAGCATTAAACTAATCCTCTTAGTAAGTAAAGCTATTTCTCTCATTACTCCTCATTCAATCAGAGTAACATCAATGATAAGACAGATAGCTTGTAAATGAGCATAAATCCTTCAGATATATCAAACTCAAAGAACATTAATAACATCAATTCTATTTAGATTATCAAGAATAATTTGCATGTAAGATAATAAAGTTCATCTAAAGAGGGTTTATTTGAAGAGTAATCCACAATAAGACCTGATGATTACAGCAGCATTGAAAATTATCAAACTGCAAGAGTAACTAAAAGAAAAGTTGATAACTATGATGAATGTGCAAACGAACCTGAGGTTTAGGATGTGGATTAAACCCCAAATTCTTAATAAAGAACCCATTCAGTCTCCCGTGCGAGAAAAAGTGTAATAGGTTAAACATCATCTACTATTTTGATGCTGGATAAACAACTGACTTAATTGCAAAAAGAGAATTAGGAATTAAAGGACAAACTAGAGATATCTTATTAGAACTAGCACAATTTGGAAAATGAGATGGAAGAGTTTCAAGTTGAATTCAAACGCAAAGAAGAGGAAATGAAGCATATTAAGAAAAAGTTTCAGGATTTCTAAAAGTAACATTTTAGCTGTGAAAAGGAAAGAAGAGATCTTAATGAGAAATATCAAAAAGCAGAGAAAGAAAAAGTCAAGATTAATGAGAAATATATAAAACTTAGCTAAAGATTGAAGGATAACAATGTTAGTAGTGAAGGTGTGCGCATCAAAGAGTATTAGCAGATATATTAGAAATAACTTGAAGAGATAAATTCACTTAGAGTTAAGTTACAATAATTTGAAGAAAAAGAGAATAACAGCAACAATAATACTCAGAATAATACACTTGATATGAATAGCTTAGATCATGGTTAAAAGATATTCTAACGATTCTCAAGTGAATTAGTATGTGCATGTCTTCATGAATTGATGCTGGAGCTATCTCAAAAAATGCCAATTACTGGAGATGAGACATTCGATATTGCCAAATTCCAGTAATTTCTAAGAGAGTAAAATTGCAAGGAATGTGGCCATTCTGAGTTAATAGATCTAGAACTTGGTTCTATCATAGTTTTAGGATGTAAAAGGATTAAAGATCTTACTTACTTAACAGATGAGCAAGCTGAAAAGCTAAATATAATGACATAACAGTATCAAACTACAGCACTTTTGTTGAATGAAAAAACTCTTTAATTTGAGCAATTGCAATCTAATCTACTTAATATGCTTTAAATAAATACCTAGTAAACCCCACTTTAGTAATAAACAGCCATCCTAGTTCCTTAGTAAAATCATAATTATCAATCGTTTTTTAATGGCTAGACAACAATGAGTAGCTCATAAATTTATAAGCATCTTAATTTCTAAACATAATAAACACTTGGTACTCAAAATACAATTGAAGAATCACCATAAGTAAACTTCAGCAGAAAGTTTTCCAATAGAAATGCGATGCTATTATAATAATCTTAAAACTCTAATCTAGGTTCTTTAACTGGAGGAATCGTACAGTAAAGCATGCAAAATCCAAGTTTTCTTTTTGGGAATTCAGGGTCTATAAGTGGCAAAGAAAACTGGAATCATGAAAATTATAGTGTTAATAATTCTCTGAATGCAAAAAATTCAATATTTAGGAATTAAAAATGTCAAAATAGATAACTGATGGCAGTAGGCAGATCATAAAGTCCAATAGATTTTGGAGGTTAAAGTGCAATTAGAAATGAAAGCTCTCCAGATCAAACAGGTATCCTAAGCGGTGACACTTCAATGTTAAATTTTAATAATCAATAACCGATCATGCTTAAATAAATGAGTAGACAGCCCTCACATTAAACCCTCTTAAGCAATAAAACACTTACAAGTTAAAGAAAGATTGTGTGAGTAACAGTCAAACTGCTTTATCTTGGAGAAATTAGTAGATAGTTTAATTATAATTTAATTGATTTTAAATTTGTTATTAATCTCATCAATATCCTTTTTTTAGTATTAAGGGGTTTTGGGGTTTTGGGGTTTTGGGG